CCTCCCCTCCTCCCCCTCCGTACCTGTATCTGGAAGAACTCCCCCATCTCCAGCAGGATGGCCTTGGCATTGCTGTGCTCTTCCTCACTGTCAATCCCAGCCTGCCCGGGGAGAGACACAGCCTGAGAGAGAGACACTGAGGCACACTGAGAGAGAGGGACACATGAACAGGGATGGGGACACACAGGGGGACACAGGGACCCTGACCGACTCACCATGTACATGGCCGCAGCCACAGGCAGGTAGAAGGAGTAAAAGGCTGTCTTGTACTTCACAATGGCTCTGTACCTGAGGGGCAAAGACACACAGCTCAACCTGTGGTCAGTCAGTGTGGATCAGGGTGCGGTGGTCAGTGAGTGTGGATGAGCCTGCAGTGATTAGTGTATGTTGGTCAGGGTGTGGCGGTCAGTCAGTGTGGATCAGGGCGTGGCGGTCAGCCAGTGTGGATCAGCCTGCAGTGGTCAGTGTATGTGGATCAGGGCGTGGCGGTCAGTCAGTGTGGATCAGGGTGTGGCGGTCAGTCAGTGTGGATCAGCCTGCAGTGGTCAGTGTATGTGGATCAGGGCGTGGCGGTCAGTCAGTGTGGATCAGGGTGCAGTGGTCAGTCTACCGTGCTGGGGGCATCTCTCTCACCTCTCCTCAGTGAAGCGGGCCAGGTTGACCAGGTCTGGCTGGGCTGTCATCAGGTCCAGAGCTTGACCCAGCTCTGTCTGGAAAGACGTCTGAGAAACAGAGAGGGAGACAGAGGCTGGTTACAACGCAGGTCGAGTCCCAGCCCGGCCCAGTCCAGTCTGATCCACTGCAGGTCTTATCTGCAGCACGGCTCTTGTATAAACGGCTCTACTGAAGCCGACAGGCACACCGACTCAACAAGAAGTTCTCAGGCTTGAGATCTCCAGCCCCCAGCGTCGCTCTGCACAGAAGCCCCTCAGCTGAGAACAAAACCTGGAGCGGATCAGCCTGCGGTGCAATGGGAAGGACCCTGCGGCCCCTGGCCCCCGGCCCCCGGCCCCTGGTCCCCGGCCCCTGGCCCCTGACCTCCAGGAAGAGCTCCAGCAGCTGGGTGTAGTACTTCTCCCCTCGGCAGTGTCGCCGCAGCAGGCGGTATATCACCCCCTCCAGGAGGAACGCGTCATTGATGGCATCCAGCCCCACGCCGTCCTGCGGGACAGGCCACAGAAGACAGGCCTTGAACCCTGAACCACACAGAGCCTCC